TCACACAGTGGATTCTACGATGTCATTTAGGGCATAATTAATAAAATTGTTGCAAGGTTTTGTTATAATGGGTTTACGCCTTCTTTCTGGTTTTATGCTTTATTTCCTAACTCGGCAGGGGGTGTGTGAGAAACATGGTCTAGAAGTTAAACGAATTGTTTTTTTTCTGTATTTCAGAATTAGAGTACATACATGACATTTCACTTATCCATTAAATTTCACCTCTATTTATATATTACTATCATAGGCTCCAATTTAAATTACGTGGATTGGATGGTCATTGGGAGCTACATGCCAGTAAAAAGTTACATAAATATAGCTAAACTGTGAAACAATATCTTTTTGAAAAGCTTGAGGATAAAACCAGGCTAAATTTTCAAGCGAATAACCTTACATTTTACATCACACTTTGTACATTTTGTTTTAAATCCATTAAAACGAAACCAAACCCATCACAAGGTCGCAAAGCAAGGTACTAGAAATGTCCAATATTCATTCATTCGGGCATTTGCAACCTACGACTTGTGACCTTGTTTTATCGAGTTACATTTACATCATGAGGGGACACTTAAAACTTCATATCAAGCCTGCAACCCAGAGGAAGTTTCACTTGCCTGCATTAATTTGTAAAGTACAAATTACACGTGACATTATCAAAATGTTTACACGGCCATTCAGGTAGATATTTAGAAATACAGATCTCCAGCATGAACATGATAACGTATGAACATATAATATCACACTATTCCAAACTATTAAGCATGGGAATTGACATTATTATTATTATTATTATTATTATTATTATTATTATTATTATTATTATTATTATTATTATTATTATTATTATTATTATTATTATTATTATTATCATCATTATTTTTCGACTGTCACTGTTTTCACATAAAATGCTTCTTATAGCTATTTCAGGCCTCCTTAACTTTTATTGGGATTTATTTTCCGTGCTTTCGGGACTGACCAAATACCTTTCTGTTGCAAACACCTTCGGGACTGACCAAACACCTATCTGTTGCGAAACATTTTCCAGACTGGCCAAATACCTTTCATTTGCAAACACCATGTACAGGAAACAGCTTATGTTCGAGTTCTTAACTTCAGATATTTTTTTTCTTCAAAATTCACTGCTAAACCTCGTTCGGATGCGCCTTGCTGTCGCGAGACAACAAACAAAAGCACCAATTATCATCACGTACGAACTCAACAAATACCCTATGCTATCAGGTTAACTGCAACGTACTTACGTGTCAGCATCACTATGTGATAGTACTATTTACATTGACATTTATCATATAAATACGGGTAACTACTACAATTAGGTACACATGTCATACTTACATGCATGGGCGCCCGAAGGATTGTTTGCAAGGGTTGATTGGGGTCAGTCAGTCACGGCCAGGAGAGTTAGTATAGTAAGCAGTCTGAAACTAAGCGTTTTGAACAGAATCTTGTGACATATTTTCAGCTTCATTTGCATGATTAAACATATATATATATATATATATATATATATATATATATATATATATATATATATATATATATATATATATAATGATTTGGAGGGTCACGTGACAATCCTTGACCTATGCTGTGGGCACCCATGCTTACATGAAAATTCCACTTATTTTCGTATTAGTTGTTATATACATTCCTAATGGTATTATGAAAAAAAAATCGTAACTGTTACAGACTTTTGAATTGATAATAAACGTGTAAGTGTTTTTATTACATATGTATGTGTTACTAATATATATTTACATCCACGATAAATATCACGTACATAGGTAATATTAACACATACTTACGTGCATGATAACTCGTATATACGTACGTGATAGCAACAACTAAGCACGTGATATGTACTTTATAATAATTACACGAATGTGTTTACGTACAGTTCAAAAGTCTGTAACAAGAACGACTACTTCGACTGCTAAAGCGCTGTCCGTTACGGATCACTGCTATCGCACCTGTCTGCGTGGGTTCGAATCTAAGATTCGGCGAATGTGGTTATGTGAGAAAGTTGCCAGTAGCTTCTCATGGGTCGGTGGTTCTTTCCGGTGATTTCCCGGTTTCTTCCTCCACCATTAATACTGGCTGCCATGTATAGCCTATCGTGTGCTGAAAAATGGCGTTAAGCCCAACAATAACAATAACAACAACTACTACTTCGACTGGAATGCAGAAGACTACAAAATAGTGTTCACGTGACTGGTTGATCTTACTAATACCACGTTATCGTCTTTAATTTACTGAAAGATTTCACTGACTTTGATTTTGCATATATTTGATAGCAAACATTTTTTTTTGCACTTTAATGGGATGATCTCGGCTGTGATTGTCTGCTAGACAGATTTGGATGAAGCTTGCTATATAGTTTATGTGAAGAAGATCATATATGTGTTCAATGTCTAAAACAATAGCTTGTGTTGACTGTGGTCCTGTTTTACTGGCTTTCTAAAAGTACTGATTAATGGAGAGATCACGGTGAAACCTGCTTATTGGATTTAATTAACAATGTCTTAAAATGAAATATTTTTTATCATCTTTTTTAACTTATCATACAATAATATGATTTAATTTTTCATTGGTTGACATTGTGAGTCCACTAAAATTTTATTTTTCGAGAATACTTTAATGATCGTGCAATTCGACTTTATAACCACGTCTTGGCTGGCTTAGTAATTTCCAAGTAATATAAAGCAACGTTAGTGCATACTGGTAAGTTGATCTCTGATTTCCTAATTTTAGGGCATGCTAGATGCATATGCTTTGTTGAAGAGATTTTCTAAAGCCTGCTTTATATTAAAAACATCCAGGATGCATTCTATGATAAGCGAAACCCATACGTTTTAATGAGTTCATCTGAATCTGGTTTACATATTACCATCCAGCATACATATTTATGGGCACATTTGCAATGCAGCTTGTTTTTTAAGGCTTATTTTAAAATCCCGGAAGATATATTGTTATTTGACAATGTTTAATTATCAGGTGGATCATGGCAGCATACATCAAATGAGCAATAGCACTCCCAGTTGAGCCTCTTGGTTATGTGTATGATGTCAAGTATCGCCACTTGCTGAAAAGATAATGTTACATGGAGTAGGTCTTTGAGACATTTAATCTGTCCTTATGACCAGCCATCCTTCTATTTAGAAACATTTTTATTAAAATGGTAAGGAGCCCAGGGCTGAATAGTCTAAAGCTATCACCTTTACCGATCACTGGGTTCAAATCTCGGACTTTGCCAACGTGGATATGTTAGAAAACTGTTTGTAACTTCCCATAGGTCGTGATCATTACCGGGGTTTACGCGTGTTCTTCATCCATCACGTATACTGACCGCCTTACATTTTCCTTACTTGCGCTGAGAAATAGAGTTAAAACCACACAACAACAACAACATTAAAATGGTGATGTGAAAAGCTTATTCGTGAAAAAAACTTTAATAACTTAAGATGTATCATGAAGTATGCCTTAGAACAGGAGTCGGTTAACTTCGCACGACTTAGTTTGTATCCGCGTATTTACATTATAGAGTGAGGTTGTAAAAAATACTTATATGGCATGCGCCACAGAGAACATTGCCTATGCCTGCCGTAGATTCATGTTCATATACTTTTCCACGAAATCTGTTTGGTTATGTTTTCTTTGTATTTATAGGTCTCCAACACTTCAAGTTTCAGTGTTATATCTGCGTTTGCTCTAACCAATTCCATCTTTACTTACTTAATCGTTAACTTAATGAATTAACTTTTCTTTTTTTCTTTCATTTATTTAATTTTCTCATTTAGCGTATTTTGTCTTTATAAGTGTTAATTTTGCGTACTTATGCAATAGTTATAATGTGCACTGGTATTAGCGTCACATGCGTACGTAATAGTCATCATGAACGTAAATGGTAGTAGCATAAACTTATCCTTTAAAAACGCTTATAATTGTCGAAGCCACGTTAGTAGGAAGCGAGATATAGGAACGAAGGAGAAATGTAAAGCAACATATATTCTTCGATTTTTTTTTTCGAACAGCAAGTTAAAACTGTGGAGGTTAACTTTTGTGTAGTTCATAATGGATAAGGCATATTTCCTGACTTCATGCTATGTATAAAGTTTTTTATTTTGTACGTAATTTGGGACACTTAATATTTAACCTGCTACCCACAGCTGTGCTGGAAAATATGCTAGTTTTAATCATATGGTGACACGTTTGGCACCTTTAAAAATTACAACGTTTTCGATGTGCCAGTGGGCATTTAGTTTATAAGATGGCTTCAGGTTTGCTCTGACAAGAATGCCTCTTAGAATCTGTGGTCTGCGGTAAGCTTCAAGTAGTTTATGGAAGAAAATAGTCCTGAGAATTTCGCACGATTTAAAAGTGGCCCAGCATTTTATTGATGATGCGACCTACTTGATGGCCGTCTGGATGATACATGATGATACAGGGCAAAGGTTTTTTTTTTGTATTACAAGAGGACATTGGGATTTCTTCGTTTAGATCTTGTATTGCCTCTGTGACTGTATCATAACCTTGCCATAGATGTTGTGAATACAGTTCTTTTGATTTGTTTTTAATTCCCTCCTATTGTTACTGCCTGGCTGCATTGCCGGTGTAAGGCCTTCTAGAGCCATAAGCACAGAAGATAGTATGGTGCCCCCCACTACAAAATGTGAAATTAAAACAAATATTAAAAGCTAAATAAGTGGGAAAGTACCAGTGTTATCATCATTCCAAATCAAAATATTTGTACATGCAGATCAAAATGGTCATATACAATTCAATCAATTTGATCATCGACAATTAATTTGAAAATTTTTCTGGTGCCCTTGTTGGGCTGGTGCCCTAAGCACGTGCTTTTTGTGCTATGCTGAACGCATTGTTCTGAATACAATGTTGCATCCGGATGGAAGAATACAGTAGTTTATGTCGGTTGGTATAGAGTACCAGATGTCTTTACGGAACTTGTTCTCAACAATCTGAGTTGACCTCTCCGGTTGCCTAGTGGTTAGAGTGTACGCCTCGGATGCGGGAGGTCGTGGGTTTGATCCCCAGCAGAGTCAAACGAATTACTTATAAAAATGGTGAGGAGCAATAAGAGGTTAGTGTTATGACTGGTTGGCCTGGTGACAGGAAACTTGACTGGGTGGGGCAAGATGCTACATGTCTGCGACGTGATGCCCCAGTGCTAGACATCACTATAAACTGCCACACTGCAGACACCGAAGCGATATGACTGAAAAATTGTTAAAGCTACATTAAAAATCCAAATCTCTCTCTCTCTCTCTCTCTCTCTCTCTCTCTCTCTCTCTCTCTCTCTCTCTCTCTCTCTCTCTCTCTCTCTCTCTCTCTCTCTCTCTCTCACACATACACACACACACGCACACACACACGCACACACAATTTAAGTTGTGCTTAGAAATACGTGTCGTTTTATAAAAATTAGATGTAATCTTGATGAAGTGGTTATGTTATGCGTATTTGTAACGATATAAAAAGCCTATTCTATCTGTATTGATGTTTATTCTCACAGAGAAAACATACACAATGTGTGCACCTTGCAAGAATGCAAAAGTTTCCCATCGTGTTACCCCTTAAAATATTTAGGTAGGAAGGTTTCATTTATGTATTTTCATCGTTTCGCTAGAAAGAATTCATTATATTGAACTCAAAATTGTTCTTTTAGTACCTGCTCGAGTGTTTTGACCAGTAAATGTGTAAGTGGCTTCTTCACAGTTTTTGCTTTCCGCGATCTTTTTCATTGTGTATACATTGATGTTACGTCAGCATAGGGCTTGGCGATAACGGTTCAGCGGCTGTGCTTTTCCTGAGATAGTCCGAAGTATCCTGAATGCAAGAAGATGAATATAGACGGCACAATAGTGTCATACTCTGCATGAAATCCAATCCATTGTTCAATCGATTGATCGTGACGTATAAAGCGTTTCAGGAACAATGTTAATCCCTATTAACATGGAGGGTTTTGTACTTTTATGGTGCTTTTTGATGTATTCATTGTTGTGTTTCGTGTATTCACATAAGAATGTACCCTTTACAAGGCAACCCGTAGTTTCCCGGAACACTTCCTTAGACTGGTTTAGACTTGGTTTTTAATGTGTTGTGTTAGTTAGATTTTTAAGGTACTTTAGCAATTTAAGTCGATGTCTGTAGTATGACAGTTTACAGTGATGTTTAGCACTGGGGCATGATGTCGAAGACGTGTAGCATCGTGTCCCACCCATTCACATTATCCAGACACCTGGACGACCAGAACTAGTACTAATCTCCTAATGCTGACCGCCAAGCGAGGAAGTTGCGTGTACCATTTTTATAAGTATTTGGAATTACTCGCCCAGAGTTCAAACGCGTGACCTCCCACTTCCGACGCGAACGCTCTAAGCACATAGGCGACCGGAGTGGTATGATTGCCCGAGTGGAGTTGTTGCGCACGCACACCTATATCCACAGCATTCCATCCTTTCAGGGTAAGTGCTCTTAGTCCTGCGAGTAAGGGGATTGGTTATTGTTTTTAATGTTGTTGTCATGGGTTTAACGCCATTCTCAGCGCAAGACAGGGTGTGCATGTCGGCCAATATATCTGGTGGAGGAAGAACTAAGGAAAGCCTCGGGATTAACCACATACCCCTGGAAGATACTTGTAGTGGCTAGATTTCTCACGAACCCGCACTTGCCGAGCCCGATATGTGAACCTATACAGAGGTGAGATGGCAGTGATCCATAACGGTGAACTCTTTAGACCACTAGGCCACTCGGTGGCTCCCATGGTGGTTTTGGTGCTTGCAGATAACATTTCTTTGTTGTATTAAAAGTAGAACTTATTCACATAATTATTCATCATCATCATCATCGTCATCATCATCATCATCATCATCATCATCATCATCATCATCATCATCATCATCACTTAGGCCACCGCCGCAAAATTCATACATGCATACATGTGTAGTACAACCACAAAAAACTACAACTCATTTCCTAAGACGCTGCTTTTCTAATATTGAAGGATTTTTATCAATATAGAAAAAATTATTTAAGCGAATAATATTTATACTAATTCTATGTAGAGTTCTATAAAACTTCATATAATTTAATTTTGCGGTTAACCTTTGCAGGAAATTTCCATTGCTGAACATCTTAAGCGATTATGTAGGAATCATTGAAACCATATATAAAGTATTAACAGTTGCAGTCTTCTCTGATCTTACTTATAAATCGGAATATGTCCATTGAATTTAAGTCTCCATGTAGTTTTTGAAGAAAAAAATACGTCGCTGTTTTAAATATAATGAAAATTCGGACATAATCATCCACGAATTGATTTACACAAAATCATCCCATTTTCGTGATCCGCCCCTTGATTTACACAAACTTATCCTATTCTCATCACCCATCCGTTTTAAGTATGCGCTTCTCACATTCTAATCTGATAACCCTTTGATTTGCATTGACTTCTCACGTTCTCTTCAGCTGTCCTTTGATTTACACAGACTTCTACCATTCGTTGTGAAAACTACTGTATTTGTAATTTGAATTGACTGCCATTCACAATAGCCGCCCCAAGTCATAACTACATCATAACTTTGTTTTCGAAATCTGTTGTCTGTAATCTTTCCTGATCTTAGCACAAGTATTCTATCACATCTTACTTTTTACATTGCAATTTTACCTAGTTCATTAGATACAAAATAGTTGTGTTTTTCGTAATAAAAAAATCATATTTATAGAACGAATATGCACAGCCTGTGTTATTTACTGATTTTAAAACTCATCCCTATCTGTAATATAACAAAAAATACAAAGGGCGCCGGAATTGATATTAACTTAATCTTTATATTTAGATATTTCTTAAATTTATTTATGTTTACAAGTTAAGTCATTGTATTGGAAGTTCTATTTTTTTAAACCGAAATGAAGGATAATGTTGAAAAAGTTTCCAACTAAAATAAAAGCTATACATTATACTGTTTTAGAGATCTCAGCGGATCTTGCTTTTAAAGAGACACTCTTCCTGACGTTTTGTCTATACTTTTATTTAAACATCCAGAAAAGCTGTCAACGCTTGAGTTTATGTTCCGTTTTATAATACGTTGTCTTGGAATAAAGAGACCGCATCTCATTTTCGCTGTATGCCTTAAGAGTGTAAATAGATTGTTTGAAATAGGGTAAAACCACCATAATTGATACGCTGTAATTGAAGATAAGCTAAAATATGATGAATCATCAATATTGTTTTTTAGAGCATTATAAAAACATTCCAAAGATTCAAAACCGCTCTGTTGGCCTAATGGTTAGATTGTCCGCCTTGGATGCAGGAGGTCGTGGGTTCGATCCCCCGGTCGAGTCATACCAAAGACTTACAAAAATGGAACTAACAGCTGCCTCGCCTGACGCACAGTATTAAGAGGTTAGTGTTAGGACTGGTCAGCCTGGTGTCAGGCTAATGTGACTGGGTGCGACGTCATGCTACATATCTGGGGTATGATGCCTTAGTGCTAGACATCACTATAAACTGCCACACTGCAGACATCGTAGCGATATGACTGAAAAATTGTTAAAGCTACGTAAAAAATCATAATCACATCACACATCACACCAAAGATTCAAGACATGGAAATGTGTCATATCGATGCTTGCTGGCGATGTTCGATTGTCCTTCGGCATGCGATTCTACATTATACTTAGTGCATATGCTATAAGAAAGAAATTTTAAATTGATTAAAAACAACTTTAAAATGTAAACATAAGAAAGCTTGCTGAGCTGCTGTACATTATTATTGCTAAAATTAATATAATAAATACATTGATTTAATTTGTCTTTAAATCGTATCGATTCCCGTTTAAAATATATTTGATTTCCGTACATAAAAATTATTTAAATCAATCGAATTCTCATGCAAACCGATATTTTAAATAATTTCAACTCCCATGTAAACCGATAATTTAAATAATTTCAACCCACATGTCAACTGATAATTTAAATCATTCGAATTCACATGTAAATCGATGATTTAAATCATACGAACTCTCATGTAAATCGATGATTTAAGTCATTCGAACTTCCATGTAAGTCGATGATTTAAGTCATTCGAACTCCCATGTGAATCGATAATTTAAATTATTCAAACTCTTATGTAAATCGACGATTTAAATCATTCGTACTCCCATGTGAATCGATGATTTAAATGATTCGATTTCCAGCGTAAACATGTTTTTAAATCATTTCAATATGTTAACCGATAAGTTAAATCATTCGAACTCCCATGTAAATCGATCACTTTAAGTCATTCGAACTCTCGTATAAACAGGTGATTTAAATCATTCGAATTCCCATGTAAACCGATCATTTAAATCATTTCAACTCATGTGTAGATCGATCATTTAAATCAATTAAACTCCCACGTAAGCAGATGATTGAAATCACTCGAACTCCCATTTAAACCGATAATTTAAATAATTTCAGCTCCCATGTAAATCTATTTAAATCATTCTCATTCCGATGTAAAGTGATAATTTAAATCATTCTGATTCCCGTATTAATTGAATACTATCACTATTAACATTTAAAATTTGTCTTATCATGTACACTCACTTGAAACTAATAAAAAACAATGTCTCTTTCAAATAATGTCAACTCCCAAGTAAACCTATTATTTAAATCATTCTGATTCTGATGTAAAGTAATAATTTAAATCATTTTGACTCCCATATTATCTTTTTTTCCTGGCTGCACCTTTACACATATTAATAAATGGATTTTTTTCCCATACTTGATCATATATGTCCATTGCTAAACCTGGTTTGACTGTATTAAACTCTTTTATGACAAATATAGCCTCAACTGTGAAGGAATTTGAACCATAGACTGAACTAAATACCCAAATTAACGTGTTTTATGTAGTATTTAAATTTTTCCGCCTGAGAACGGTTTTAGTTTTCTTAAAGAAGAATAGGAAGAATGTATAGAAATATTCCGACTTTCAGACTTTGGTAGCTATACAAAGTTACTTGAGGACTGCGAGGTTCATAACGAATTCTAAACTCAT